AACTTATTTTTTTGGTACACGTTTGGATGAAGATAAACTAACTTATTAAAACGCTAATTGGATAACTTATTTTTGTTACATTTTTCGATTATAATCCTCATTATTGTTAATAATTATTTTTTAGTATTAAAAGGAAAAAAAGATAAACATATTTTACAGAAAATGAGATTTAATTTTTTTTTATATAATAAAATCAAATAATTATTTAATAATTAGGTATCTTTTATAAAGTGATACGTTATTTGGTTGGTGGGATGTAAAATGATATTGAAGTGGTGTTATTTCATTTGCAGATTTCATTCCCATTTTTTAAAAATAAAATTCATTATTGGTATAATCAATTATTTATATTTTATTATTATTTAATAATAATACCAAAAATAAAAATAAAAAATTAAATGATCAATATATATTTGTTATTATTAAACATATTATATAATTATTACAAGGAATAAAAATAGGATAAAATCTATTAAAATAAATAAACACGTATATTTTAGACGAGTAAAGGTCTTTAATTTGTTGTGGCTAGAAAGGCGTATGGGTCAAGGACTAGATGTTTACGCCTTTTGGCTCGCTTCGCAAGTAGCTTTTTGTTGTTTTGGTGGTTTTGGATCGGGATGGGTGGATGGTTTTTTTTTTGTTTCCGATGTTTAAATCTAAAAAGACGTTCCCGAATAACTAAATCATTCTCGTATATCTAACTAGCACTCATCTTTTCATGGTGTCGTTGGTATCATTCCCATTAAAGACTTGATACATGTGCGGACGAACAAAAATGGTTAAGTTCAACGCCCAGTAAGTTCAAACAGTTTTCATTATAATTATAAAATGGTAAAAACTGAAAGAGTGTTTATTTAAATAACAACTTCTAAAATGGAATGTTTATATCATAGTAAAAACATCTTTCAGTGACGAGGGAGATTTGTTTCCATTGATCGCACAAAGAAAGTCAATCATCAAATGTTATCGAGTTTCACTCAAGGGTATTGGGCTCCGTATACAACTCTACCGAGTGCCACCGCAAGACCAAGCTCCATATATGACTTTAATAAGTACCACCGGATCCCCCAAGACCTGAGGGTAACCAAGATTCCTACTTGCTCTCTAGATGAGTTTCACCACAAAAGTCATGGGTCTTCGTATACGGCTCCAACGAGCACCGCTAGAAGACCTAGCCCTGTATATGACTCATTAGGGTACCAATGCAGGCTACTAGCTTCGTGTACGACCGATTAGGGTACCATCGAAAATTTTCAAACCATAGCTTGGTGACCACTCGCTATAAATTGTAGCCAAAACATCTAAACTTCCCACCTAAAACAATAAAACATCAACAACTCATAGGTCTTAGAGTCCAACCCCACACGGTTCCTTTCCAAAATACCGACATGACCAAACTTAACCACTCAAAGTCTATCGCTCTTATAGGCGCCAAGCTCAACCATTCCAAGTCTATCCCTCGTATGGTCGCCAAACTACAAAACAGGGATAATAATCCCCCTTTAAACCAATAAACCGACTCTTATACATACAGATCAATTGCATGAGACTAATTGAACGACCAAGGCACATAAAATATGTAACTTTCAAATGAATATGCCACAAGGGTATATAATTCCAAAAGCTCGTGATGGGGCAAATTAAACTAGACAAATGTCCCCTGAGACTCATCTGAGTCAAAACCGAGTAAACGCTCAACAACATAATTGAATATTCAGTAGAACTCATCGTAAACAATTAAAACGCACTCAACCAATGTCTATGCAAATACGTTTTCAAAAAATGACTAAACTCAAAAATTCATCGTTGGTTGCGATAAATCATTTTACAAATGAAAACATACTATTTACATTTCCAAAATATATAATAACATAGTATCATGCATTTTTCCCAAACGATTTATAAAACCAAAAACACTAAATGTGCACCGACCTCAAATAGTTTCCCAAAGAGGAATGGATCATCACCCCCCCCCCCCACACACACACTTTGTGGTTTTATTTATCAAGATGTCCAAAAATCCAAAATACAGACGTTTTACAATGTTTTCTAAAAATCAAGTGTACGGAAATACAAATCTCATCAAATAAATCACACATTTGATAAACATCGAGTAAAATATCTTAAGACTTCAAAACATACATCTTTAGCATGTACAAACTTTTCACAAAACAACTTGAAGTCGCATTATGATGTTATGTTAAACCAAGATTCCAAACCAAACCCCGGCTTCCATTGTGGAGACTCGAGATCCCCAAGATAGACTTCCACATCTATGGTGCAAAGTTTTCAAGAACACCCTTTTGAACTTCCAAGTTATTGTAAAACATCACAAAGAGGAGGAGGCTGAGGTCAGGATGCAAAGTGACCAAACCTTAGGTCAAGAAATGGTAGTTTAGAAGCTTCCCACCAACCCCTAAGAACACTAAGATCCCCCATAATGCTCTTGAAAAGGCTTAAAAATTGGTTCCAGGGCCCCAAATATCTTATAGATCGAGAGAAACATGGACGAGGAGAAGAGTGGGATGAAAATTAGGAAGAAAAGACTCAAAATCGAACTTTAAGTGCAGATCAGGTGCATCCGTCGACCTAGCCCACGACCCAAGTTGTGTCACTAGGTGCCCGTATGCAGCAGCTCACAAACAAAATCCCACATGATCTTGGTTGCAACTTATGTCGCGTGGCAGGTCGCGAGAAGGGTTTTTTCCGCTCGAAAACTCGATTTTTTCCGCCCGCTTCTACTCCCACGCACCCAGTGATGTCTTATTACCAAACCTCACTGCATAATGATCACTTTAAAGCCACACAATCACGAACAAGCTTATAATGAAGACCCCAAAATTACAGGCGTTACACATTGGCTGTTTCATGAACTTTGGATTTCTAAGTTTGACTTTTGCCTGTTGTTTTCGTTTGCTCGGTTTGTTGATGTCTTGTTAATTTTGGTTGTTCTCTTTGCTTTGTTCTTGGTTTTGTTTCGCTCTATTTTCTCATATTGCTTGTATCATGTTGGTTCTACGTCACATAAGATTATGTTTCACTCCTTTATTTTTAATAAATTGTTAAATCTTTCAAAAAAGCTCTCGTTTTTATTCTATGTAATCATAATCTAACTTTTACGGTCTATGGTATGAAAGTATTTATTTTGACACTAAATTTTACTTGCGAAATAAATTTTGACGGATTTTAAAAAGGATGTTTCTTAAAATATACATTTTTTAACTATAAATTTTTAGACATGTTTTTGAATATATTCTCAAAATACTTAAATAAAACTATGATTTATTTTCATGTATTTTGTCATAAAAATATAAACGCGTTTTGAGGTGTAAAGTGGGAGAAAAGAGATATCATGATTAGGGTTTTAAAGCATAAGACATTTTCATTTTGAGAAAATTGGTTTCACACTTGGTTTTTCTTGAACTTGTTCAAAACAAGGATGATGCCTGATTGGTTTGAGATTGCCTCCAAAGATCAAAAGTACCAGGAGGTCTCAGGTTCAAATTCAAGGAGAAATAAAAATCCCCTTGTGGCCATGGAGGTTCAAATGCGGTGACTCCGGGCTATCTGCAAAGCAAGTGGTCATCCTGGAATTAGTCGGCTCGCATAGCGGGTTGGATATCCAGGTTAATAAAAAAAATTATTGTTTGATAAGCCAAAACTGGCTTATAGTTAGTATTTTTGGATTATATACGATAAATTTTAGGGGTAGATTAAATACACTCTGTATTTAATGTTAAGTGCACTCTGTTTACTACTTTTTTCCTTAACACATCAATAATAAGGGGTTGTTTGTTTAACTTTTAATAGTTGAATTAAGTAACAGTCTCTGAATCGTTAAAAGATGAATCTTGTTTGACAAAAGAAGTTTGTCTCTTAATAGTTCTAAACCCTCCGAATGATTTTGTATCTTAGGTCTACTTTAACTATTCAGCGCTCTAATTTCATCGTAAACAATTGTCAAACAATTAAATTTCATTTTGTACTATATCATGAGAGCTTCTTAATCATTCCGACTACTTAATTATTTTGCACCAAACCATTCTGCAACTGCTAAACAACCCCTACAACTTAATTTTTATATTTTTTTAATGATTTAATCTGATTTTAATATAAACGAGATGTATATATCATTATCTATAAATTAAACTCGTACACTTTTATATTCCTGAATACCATTCTGGTCAATAGCTTTTTGTTAAGTTGGTAGCTTTTTGAAAAGTTGTTTCCAATAGATTTTAATAATTTTTAAAATTTCCTTTCACTTTTTTCAATATATTATTAAATGAAGTAAAACCTAAACATACATTCCTAAACACTTTAATTTAACTTATCATTTAGTTTTTTTAAGAAAAAAAAATCCAAAATTCTTAATAAATTATTACATTTTAAGTGATTTAAGTCCTTAAATTATTTTATAACAAACAAATCATTAAAGAGTTAGGTTCGTGAACATTTTTTTAACGAATAAATCCTTATATTTATAAATGAAATAAAATTACTTTTACTATAAATTATTTTGATGAGTAAGATTTTAGTACATCAAAATGTATTGAATGCAACAATTTACTAGGTAAACGTTTACTTGGGTAAGAGTTATAATCTTCACTTACCAGGTAAGATTCTCCATCATTCTCATCATTCTTATCCGGTAAAATTTTTGATCCTTATCATATTCATCAAAGAAATTTATTTGATAAGTACTTAACAAGTAAACGTTTAATAAATATCCTCTTAAAGTGTATAAAGTTGGTTTTCCCCTATAATGACGGGACTAAATTTATAATTAAAAAGAAAAAAAAATAGTTAAAAATAACAGCTAATCCCATAAATAGGGTTTCTGATTGATATAGCTGTTGCCTTCTGTATCATCTGCTTAATTATTGCTCTCTTGCTACACTGCCATTATCTTCATCATTATCCCACCAATAATATACACATACATATACATACACACATATATATATACACTCCTCCACTTTCATTTATCCACACACACTCTTCCTCGTATCTGGATTCATCACTCGAATCTTTCTTTCACTGTAAGCTCTCCTACTTGAAACCCAACCTTGTTCAAACTTTGGATTAATTCTTTCCTTCTTACGGACTTGTTTCTCTACTTTCTTGCAGTACGTACAACAAGAATGATGCGTCATAGATGGGGAGGAGGGCATCTGGTGTGGATGTGTCTCTGTGTGTTGGCAATGGCGGATATCACCATGGGAGCAGCTCCAAGGACGCCGGTAGCTGTACCTTTTGGAAGGAACTATGTCCCCACTTGGGCATTCGACCATATCAAATACTTCAATGGTGGTTCTGAGATCCAACTATCTTTAGACAAATACACAGGCACTGGCTTCCAATCCAAAGGATCTTACCTCTTCGGCCATTTCAGTATGCAGATTAAGATGGTTCCCGGAGATTCCGCCGGCACCGTCACCGCCTTTTATGTATGTGTATATATAATCTCTCTTAAACCATTCCCATTCCCATTCCCATTCCCATTCTCACTCTTACTGTCTGTGTATAAATCAAGCTAAAAATGTGTGGTTTTATTGGAATCATCGCAGCTTTCGTCGCAAAACTCTGAGCATGACGAGATAGATTTTGAGTTTTTGGGGAACAGAACAGGGCAGCCGTACATTCTTCAGACCAACGTCTTCACCGGCGGGAAGGGTGACCGGGAGCAACGCATCTACCTTTGGTTTGATCCCACCAAAGCTTATCACTCCTACTCCGTTCTCTGGAATCTTTACCAGATTGTGTAAGTATTGCTTCTTTCTTTGCAGCCTGGCCTCCGGCCGGCCATATACTTACATATATCTATATATATATATATATATATAATATTATTGGGATTTGGGCATGCAGGTTTTTTGTGGATGATGTTCCAATCAGGGTGTTTAAGAACAGTAAAGATTTGGGGGTTAGATTTCCATTCAACCAACCGATGAAGATTTACTCGAGCCTATGGAATGCCGACGATTGGGCGACGAGAGGTGGGTTGGAGAAGACCGATTGGTCAAAGGGACCATTTGTTGCAGCCTACAAGAGTTTCCACATCGACGGCTGTGAATCATCGGTAAATGCAAAGTTCTGTGCAACCCAAGGCAAACAATGGTGGGACCAGAAGGATTTCCAAGATCTTGATGCTTACCAATGGCGTCGTCTCCGATGGGTTCGTAGTAAATACACCATTTACAACTATTGCACTGACCGTAAGCGATTCCCCACCATGGCACCTGAATGCAAGAGAGATCGCGACGTCTAAATCAATGGATTCCATATATTATTCTCATCCGATTTGAATCCTATATAATATAATATTTATGAAGTGAGGATCGAATTTATGATGGGATTTCAGTCAAACTTCCCCATCTTAATCACAAATATATGTAATCCTATGTTGTCATTGTATTCTTTCTTCCACCTTATTATTCAATTATTCCCACTTTATAAGGACTTGTACCAATCTTTATGTTGAAAATCTACTAATTACTGAATAATATTGTCGAATTTACATGTTTTTATGATAAAGAACGGATCTTTTCTTGATGATCTTTGGACCCTTTTATCGGCTCGATTAGCCCATTAACATGGATCATGAAAATTCCGCCGACCCACTTCCCATTCTTTATGATAATGAAACCAATCGATCAAAACCTTCGTGACTTCTTCGGGGCAACATGACTGCTCCACCATTGTCAATCGTCTTTGCTCATCCTGTTGTCACATCCATCTCCGGTCATGGTCTCCAACCACTTCAGGATACAAGCCATGAAAATGGACTAAAACATAGTTTACGAATTGTAAGGGCTAAAACCAGAAAACAGGCATAGAAAAGGGACCAAAAATGTAGTTCACTCTATATAGAAAGAAAGGAACAAAAGGGTGGATTCCCATAAACAGAAAAAGGGGGAGGAGAGACGAGAGAAAGAAAGATAACTAAGAGAGCAATATCATAGATAACACATTACACGGGGAGAAGAAGGGGCTTCTCCACGAGCAAATAAAAATCCCTTTTTTAAACAATTTGTTTCTGGCACTTTGAATCTGTCTGATCGATAACAATATTGGGTTGCTTTGTTTCCTTGGCCCCATCAACCTTTCTTAACAAAGAAAAGGTCAGGATTCTTCTCAAGATCTTGTTCGTAATGCATCAAGAATTTGGGATTTCAAATTTGATTTTATGCTCGTTTTCGTCGTAGGATTTTTGGGGCCTTTTTTGGGAAGCATTGCAACCTTGATTTGGCCATGAACAAGACTTCCTGCCCTTCTCGCGGATTATCCGATAAGCAAAACAGCAATAAAAATGTCAATGCCCCTTCACTCCGCCTTTACCAAGTTTGGAAAGGAAACAATGTATGATTATGATTCAATGTTCTTTTTTTATAGGCATATATTATAATCAGAGAGTTTATTCTCATTATAACAACACAAACTAGATGAACAAGACCCAATTTCCATTTTTAAATCTGAAGAAATCTACCTTGCCATCATCAAAATGGTTGATGATTCATGTTGGTTTTGTTTCTGGGTGGAAAGGGAAATTGCTTAAGGTGTTGTAATTGTTTTCTTTTTTGCAGATTTTTGCCTTAGGAGGCAGATTAATATTTGGTCCTGATGCCAGGTCCCTTTACCTTACTATTAGCCTCATTGTGGTTCCTGTAATCTTGTTTTGCTCTCTGGTTTCTCAAACTCTTGTGGATAACTTCCCCAATAACTTAGGCCCTCTTTTAGTAGCTATTCCTGCTGTCTTCACTGTATATGTGAGTTGTTTCTTCCTCTATGTTATGATTCTGGTTTATTGCAATCTTTCTTTTGCTCATTCTAGTGCTGCAAACAACAAATTGATGAAAAAGAACAAGTGACATACTATTATGTTGATGAATCTGACTTGCTTATGTTGTGAGCAACCACCAAAGCTAAGAAGAAGGCTCCTTTATGAATAAAATTTGGTATTGTGAAAAAAGAAAAACAATGATCTATTACCTTCATATCCGGAGATACGATTGTCTGAACTAGCTCTACAATGGTCTTTTTGGTTAAATGGCCTTTCTGACAAGTTCTTTTAATTCCATGACCTTCTAATCTTAAAGGCTCAAGGAGCACTTAGGGGCAAAGGGGTTTCGGGGCCTAGGCGTGAGGCATGGGCCTCAGAAATGTGAGGCGCATCTTACAAAAAAGTGTGTATATATATATATATACACACACACAGAGTTATACACAACTCAAATATGTAGCAAGAACTCCAGTGCAGCAACCAGCAGTACTTCGATAGAGGCAGACGGGTGATTGAGTGAAGGGTTAAAACGTGAGCCATGAGGAAGAAGTTTTAAGGTCTGGGTATTTAAAGAGAAAGAGACTTGAAGTTATAATAACCGGGTATTTAATGACTTATATCATCTATTTAATAGCTGTTCTTTTAAGAAGTCTAGGAGATAAGAAGTTGAGAAAACTTATTCAATATTGGGGTTTGACTTGGTATTTAGTAACTCTTTATGAGGTGCGCCTAGGCCCACAAGGCGCCTCAGCGAAGGCGTTGGGCCTTAGTGAGCCTCGTGAATACGCCTAGCCTCAACTTCTAAAAAACCCAAGACCTTGAGTCTTATGAGCCTCCGAGCCTAGGCTCTTTCTTTTAACAACTATGCTTCTAATAGGTTTGGGAATACATTTGATAGAAAAATCCTACTTCCATACACGAGAATGCCTTAAAACATGTTAGAAGGTGATGGATTTAAAAAAGCAGTTGTCAGGAGGTCATTTAGCTAAATAACCCGGCTTTTTTAAGACGAACAAACGCATCAAGGGTCATTAAGCCGATTCATAAGGTTTGATGAAAAATGGATTTGAACAACTTATTGTTAGCTTAAGATTTATGAAGCCTTGGTCTTTGCTAAATGGGCTTTGATTGTATGAGGTTGTCATATACTGCAGATTCTTGTCCTTATCTTTCTTGTTTCTGCAAGAGATCCTGGCATTATTCCGCGAAATCCACCAAATCCAGACTTAGATGATGATTGGGATGCCTGTAGCATGTCTACTGACTGGGCAGCAAGCGGTCGATATCTTCCACCTACAAAAAGCGTTAATGTTAATGGAATGGTCGTGAGGGTCAAGTTTTGTCAAACTTGCATGCTTTATCGTCCTCCAAGATGCTCACATTGCTCTGTTTGTAATAACTGTGTTGACCGCTTTGATCATCATTGCCCATGGGTAGGACAGTGTATCGGCAAGGTATGCTTCTTCTAGTCATATCCTTTTGCTTATTCTTACATATACATGCAAACCTTAACCATGTTTGCGTAGAAGAAAGTTCAAACTAGAACCATAAATAGATTGAGAACGTGATAACCAATTATTTCATGTATTATTCATGATGAATAACAACAACGAATAATCATCAATGTCATGCTTTTTATGATGAATATCATGTATTTTATGATGAATATCTATCATGACACTCATCATCAATAAAGCATAAGAATAGTTGGGTTTTTAGGTTATCAAATATTTGTCGTTTCCATTTGTGAACTTGCCCTCGTCCGCGTAATAACCCTTATCATTCTAGGAAAAAAGTTGCAATTTTTATTTCTTTTAAGGTAACACTGACACATGAAGGAATTACAAGCAACACATAAAACTAAGAGCATGTATGTTAGCAGCTTAATAGGACTCGCAACTTATTTAGTCCGCTATATATGATTGTTTGGCAGTGGCTTAATGATATAGAAAGTGGCTTATTCGGTAAGCTTTTAGCGGAGAGCTTGATGCAAAAAGACAAGTTTTTTCCAAAGCTGCCCCTACCATTTAAAAAACACGCTTCTTCTATCTATGAAAAACCCTCCCATACAAAAACCTTTTCAGTCTATACAGACATATTAATCCACACAGGACTTGATGGAAAACCAACCAAACAGCCCCTAACCATGCTCATATCACCTATCGATATGCCATAATCACAATACGAGAAGTGCACTTTTATTCTCAAAGTCTCACATTTTTTTGCACTCGAGATTAGAAATGGATCAGATACAAACACATAAGTACATAATGTGTTAAGATGGCCTTTAATTCTTGTTTTCAAGAATCGAGATAGAAATGGTTACTTTTCTTCTGTTAATATTATCACTCGAGTTGGAAAGTTATATATCTAACAATACCAAACTTGTGAATTTCAGAGGAACTACCTATACTTTTTCATGTTTGTATCCTCAACAGCACTGCTGTGCCTTTATGTTTTCGCTATGTGTTGGGTAAACATCATCTTGATTATGAACGCCAAGAATTGCAGCCTCTGGGAAGCTTTTATGAAGTCTCCTGCATCAGGGATTCTTATATCATACACGTTTACAGTTTCGTGGTTTGTAGGAGGCCTCTCCGTGTTTCATCTTTATTTGGTCATCACCAATCAGGTATCTTTTTCGCTACAATAAAATGGGTCTTTTAGGATGGGCGTCCTACCAAAGTACTTGATAATGGTGTTACAATAAGTTGTTGACGACCTGAACAAGTTCTAATAAGTTGAAGCTATTGAAAAATGAGGCTTTTTTGTGTCCTATTAGATTAACCCAAATTTGTCGATAGAATTTGTTTAGGTCACCTATTTTCATCCTAACAACTTATTGTAATGCCATTATAACTTAATAAATTACAAGTCCTATCAAGGGCGCGCTTGGTACATGGGACTGGATAGTACAAAATATTGTTGTCCCACGTTTGGTATGAGATTTAGACTGGGACAAGACCGAGCTTGAGTAGGACAAAAATGCGTTTTTTTCTAGTCCCACCAAAATGTGTGGAACAATATTGATAAATTACTAAACTTCCCAAGTTTTTTAAAACCCTATAACCTGTCACACTTCTTTCCCCGTCCAGTTCTGTCCATGTAGGGTGCATTTGATATCAAGACACATCATAGAACAAGACAAAACAGTTGTAAAGCGTTTGATAAGACATAATCTGGATGGGATATAACAGATAAAATGACCAATTTACCTCTAATAAGTTGTTCATATATTTTGATTAATTATGTAATTTATTAAGTTATAATAAAATAAATAGTTTTTAAACAAAATATATTATTAAAAAATATTATCAAGACAATCAAAATGACATCAAAATAAAAGTTTATGTAGTTTCCAATTTTTCATCTGTACCTTTTCTGTGTTATTTTATTATTGCTAATATAGTAAATTACATAAATTAATCAAAAATATAGAAATGGTATAAAAATAATATTTTGATGACAGTAAAGTGAAATTTTAAAGATCATAAAATACCATAAATAAAAATTTAAGAATGAATAAAATGTAAAGAGAAATGTTTATTTGATGTCTTAGAAGAGAATTAGGTTTAATCTTGAGGTTATATTTGTAAAATCTCGGTCTATCCAGCTTGTTCCATGGGGTGGGGGGTGAAAGAACACCTGTTCCACTCTGTCCTGTTAAACGTGGAATATTGATCCCTGATCTGTTCTATCATGTCCAGTGTACCAAATGCACTGCCTAGGACTGCTAGACCCCCCATTTTTTAGTGTTTCCTCATTGTTCTTCTTATCAATTCCATTTCCCAGTTTCTGAAAGTTGTCCTTTTTATGCAGACTACTTATGAGAATTTCCGATATAGATACGAAAGAAGGATGAATCCCTATAACCATGGATGTGCTAGTAATATCAAGGACGTCCTCTTCTCCAAGATACCCCCCTCCCAACATAAATTCCGTTCATTCGTAAAACCTGAATGGTATTCTCAATACAACAGTTCAAGATACTTTGCATACGCCTTCAGCGGCAACTATACAAAGAAAAGCTATGACACAGATGTTTCTTACGAGGGAAGTGAGTTTGATTTGGAGAGATGTGAGACCCATCAAACGGATCATTCGGGTAAATGGTCGAACGGGCCTGAATTGCATAGATTGGCGTCGAAGTTTATAGCAGAAAATGTAACTAGAGAGAAATCTAAGAAAAATGGAGGACTATAAAGTCATCTGCTGCCAATAGGAAGGCAAAACAAGATAGAAATAGGTGTCCTGTCTGAATGGATCATACAGGGGGTCTCTCCCTCTCTTTTTTGTTTCTCTTTTTCCTTGTTCCCATTGTTTTTTAGTTGGGGGCTATAAAATGTGAAGATGTTTGGATTTTTTGTTCTTGTGGGGTGTAGCTATAACTTTTGCTTAGCAACTGATATTCATCAATGAATGGATTAAAAGTTGCCAAGTTAATATGGGTATCTGTTGGTTTCTTTCCAAACCCATTTCTGGTTAGGATATACTGCGTTTGTTTGCTTTTGTTTGTTGGTTTCTTTAACAACCCGAAGATTTTGTAAGTAGATGGATGTTGACTGTTTGAAGGGCTATAGTTCGTTTATTTTTCAAGAAAATGTGATAAGATGCAATGTAGGACTCGTATGTGTATCTTATGTTTACGTATTGTTCCTTACTTCTTGATCTGTACATTCTACGTCTTCTGAAAGAACCATGTCTTGAACCAATCAACATAATGGTACAGAGGTAAATGTTGTCTTAATCCTTACAGGTTACTTCTGCTAACTAAACGATCTTAGTATATCCAGCAGGGGCCGGTGGTGGGATATATGCATACCTGACATCTACATCTATTCGAAATGATAGAGTGGTTGTTTTCTTCAAGACCCTAGGCCGGTTACTTATGTTAATGTGTTGCATGGGAACTTGACTTGTTCTCTTCGATGGGTTGCATTTTGATCCTTAGCATGTCTACCAATCTGTTACCACCTACATTCTAATGATATATTGGATTCGTTTGATAACTTCAATTGAATTACCTTCAACAATTGTTATGAAGATTATGCTGATGACTATTGTAGCAGTAAGCAGTTGCCTTGTTTTTTTACACATCGAAAGCGTGTAAAATTTGTGCATATGTTGAATTACATTAGATGTTATTAGTATAGTTAATTTGTCGTCAGTTTTCATAGTAAACTACAATTGAAAGAGGGCATGTGCCTATCGATTTTCTAACCGGAGTTTAGCGTCGAAGATATTTTTTGAACATAATGGAATTGTTGTTATTTTAATCATAATTTCAACACCAACATTATTATTATTATTAGTAATTATATTGATAAATTAATAATAAATACTTGATAAATGTAATTGAATTTTATTAAATATGTTACATAATGGTGTCAAACCGATAATAAAAAGTTTTTGAAAAAGTTACTCTTCTTACTTATAATAAGTTGATATGTACTTTTGTAGAAAAATATAAGTTATTTCAAATAAACAATCCCATACACCCGTAGTAGAGTAATTTAAAAATACAAATATTTAATTTAACATGAAATTTATATAATAAAATTCAAATTAATCACTCAAAATCGTAAAAAGTAGGATTAGCATTTTGCAAGTCACTTGGGTGCAATGGTATATGATACATACCCAAACCCTAGGCCTTCTTAATCGTCGATCCTGCAATCAATCATCCAAACGAACCAAAAATCAGAAGGAACTTGTTAATTCGTTAGAAGTACTGTATAGATTATACGTCGGTATTTGCCAATAGAAAATCGAGGGTTTCTTCATTCTCAGGAGTCCCGTTTCAGTTGATTTCATCAGCTTCACAACAAGGTAATCTCCCCCCCCCCCTCTCTCTGCATTTACTCATATATTACATGTATTCATTAGTATATTGCAGATGGTGTTATCGTTTTCTTTTCTTTTATTTTTGCGGATTGAATGGTTGAGTTGATAAGTTTTTGGGACTCGAAACCATCAATTTGGGATTTTTTTTAAGTTGAGTGATTCCAGTATTTAATTCTTCAATTTGTTGAATTAAGAATTGTGGTGGTGGCGGCATATGCATAGTGGCGACTACAATCTCAATCTCAATCGACCTTCGCTCAGTTCGTCCTCCCTCGACTCTCGCCTCGCTCACGGACGAACTCACGAACATAAACAAATTCGCGATTCACGAATCGAAATCGCAATCGGCCTTGACTCAATCGGCTCTCGCTTCTCGAGTCTCGACCATTGACCGGCTCTCGGCCTCTCGCTCTCGCATCTTGTGACTTGTGAGGTTAGGGTTATTTACTTTACTTGTTTTTTTTTATGTTTCTAATTCTTGTTTGATTGCAAGCTGTGAAATTGGTCCTCTGTGGTTTGTCATTTGTGTTTCTAGTACTGTTACTGTATCACTGATTCACTGTATGTATAATGTTAATGTATCATGTATGCCTAAATCCTAATTGAAATCCATGCCTTTTGCTGCCAATCTATCATTTGTTAATTGTTGGGTGGTTGACCTAAAGATGTCTATAAGACTATAAACCTCTTGTTCCTCGGCAGTCGACTCTTGCCTCTCGCTCTCTCGACTCTCGACTGCACAAAATCTGATGATTTAGATTGTTATTTGAAGATTTGATCTTTTGTTTAGATTAGGGATTTAGGGTTATTTTGTTTAATTGTTTAGTTTAGGTTAGGGTCATTTAACTTATCTTGTTTAGTTAGGTTTTACCCAAATGTTAAAACTTTGATCATTACATAGCAAGAGCTAAAACCATAAAAACTTGTTTCTTGCCTGACAATAGGTTCATTATGCATTTCATGGTAAGTTGTTGTGTATGTCATCAAACTTATCTGTACCCCGGTAGTAAGATTGATACTCCTTATTTCTTTAATCCCAGCCTAGGTACAGGAAAAGAGGAGAGGAAAGTAATTTGCTGCAGAAATTATCAGAAGCTTGCATTGTTGATTTCTCTTAGATTGACTCTTCAACTGCACAAGTAAGTTTTTATGTTCATGGGTTTTAACTGAAGTTTTGTTGTTCATGGCATAAGTTCTATACTTTTTATGTTTGTTTAAAGTTAAATGAATACTATTGTTATTAATTGATCTAGTTGCTCATCGAATCAATCAAGCCTATCTCTGGAGTTTTAGTTCTTCATTCTGTGATTAATATTCAAGTTATCATCCACCTATTTTTGTTCTAATCCCATTAGATTTTTATGTATATTACCACAACTTCAGCAGCTATAATATAGTTGAACAAACCTATAAATGTGCACTAGTTAAGTGATGATTTGCCCTCACTTGAATGTGCAGTAGCTAATTCACTTGACTGTTCTCCCTTAACTTTGCAATTTTACATATGAAACTCATGATTGTCATTGGTCAAGACCCTAAATATGATTATATGAAACACATGATAGACTAACGGAGTCATGCAATAGCTAATTCCATAGGCAAATACCTTAAGTGACTAAAACTAGGAGGACAAAATTAGTGAAGTAGGAATGAGCCATTGATGTTGTAGAGTGTAAACAATTGACGAAGAACCAACCAATTAAATGTTTGGAGTTGGATTGAGAAGGTACTAGTGTTGATTTTGCTTTATATAGAAGATGTGGGATGTAGTAAATGGGACAAGTAGATGAGTTGGTGTTATGATGCTCCTTATTTTGGTTTTGGACAAGTAGATGAGTTGGTGTTTAAACGCAAAGGCTATAACAACTTGATTAAAGAAACCTCAGCATATTATTTTAAAGCAAACACTCAACTATAAGATCACACTTATGAACAAAAAACACTAATGGGTCTCTCTGTCTATGAAGGAACAAGCTAGACAATTGTAAATTACCGCACTTGGATGTTTTAAATTGGGCATCATTTGGACTTTTCGCCGTGGGCACCAAAAATCTCAGGACCGGCCCTGAATTGCTTATGTTAATTCATAGATTTGTAGGGACTTTTTAGAGGTTTGAGTTAAGAAAACTTGGTGTATCTTAACATTTTTGGTTGTATATTGGTTTTGTAAGACTCGGTTGCTATGATTGAGTTACCATTGTAGCTTTCAAAAGCAAGCTTGTTGTATAAAGCCTAGTTGAGAATTGAAAATTTTGAGAGAACACATATGGTTTATATTGTTCTTGACTATCTGATACTATATAGGCCATAGCAAATACTTGAGTTTCAAAGATCAAATTTCATATGATTTTCTCCTTTTCACTAGCTACAACATTATGTAGATGAGATGTGTCTCTTAAGAGCACTGGGTTTTTTTTTCACGTTCGTTGTTACTTTTTGTAGCTCGCATTTTTCTGTGTTATGATTTTTGTATTTACAAGCTCCTTGATTATTATAGGTCTTGAGTCCGATCATTTGAAGCTTTGATTAAGACATGAAACGCTCCACAGATGATATTGGTGAGAAATTGCAGGCCAAGAAGCCTGTCTTTCTCACTAAAGCAGAGCGAGAACAATTAGCCCTCAAGCGCCGCCAGGATGAATTTGACGAACAGAAGCGCCGTTCTGAACAGCTTCTTCTCCAGAATAACCCTAATTCTTCATCATCTAAACCCCCACTGTCCTCCGATGATGCCTCTCGGCACCATCGTTCTTCTCGTGATTACGATCGTGACCGTGACCGTGATCGCCGTGATAGAGACAGAGACAGGGATAGGGATAGGGAGCGTGAGAGGGAGAGAGAAAGGGAACGGGACTCTGAGCGGCGGAACCGTGACAGAGAACGCGATGAAGAGCACAAGGCTAGGGAAAGAGCCCGTTTAGAGAAGCTTGCGGAGCGAGAGCGTGAAAAGGAGCTTGAGGCCATCAAGGAGCAGTACTTGGGATCCAAGAAACCTAAGAAAAGGGTAATCAAGCCCAGCGAGAAGTTTCGTTTCTCCTTCGATTGGGAGAACACAGAGGATACTTCTCGTGATATGAACATTCTCTATCAAAACCCTCATGAGGCCCGTCTCCTCTTTGGAAGAGGTTTTCGTGCTGGTATGGATCGCAGGGAGCAGAAAAAGTTGGCTGCAAAGAACGAGAAAGAGTTGAGAGACGAGATTAGGAAGAAGGATGGGATTGAGGAAAGGCCAGAGGAGGCTGCTGCTCAGAGGCTCAAGGAAGAAGCTGCAGATATGTATGATACATTCGACATGAGAGTTGATCGTCACTGGTCGGAGAAGAAACTCGAGGAGATGACAGAGAGAGATTGGAGGATCTTCAGGGAAGATTTTAATATATCTTACAAGGGTTCCAAAATCCCTAGGCCCATGAGGAGTTGGGTTGAAAGTAAGTTGAGTTCTGAGCTCTTGAAAGCGGTAGAGAGGGCTGGTTACAAAACACCATCCCCCATTCAAATGGCTGCTATTCCCCTTGGTCTCCAACAGCGTGATGTAATTGGGGTTGCCGAGACTGGTTCAGGTAAGACTGCTGCCTTTGTTCTTCCTATGTTGACTTACATAACCCGACTTCCTCCCATCAGTGAAGAAAATGAGGCCGAGGGCCCTTATGCGGTTGTCATGGCTCCAACCCGAGAACTTGCACAGCAAATCGAGGAGGAGACTGTTAAGTTCGCCCATTATTTAGGCATCAAAGTTGTTTCCATTGTTGGTGGGCAGTCAATTGAAGAGCAAGGATTCAAGATTAGACAAGGGTGTGAAGTTGTCATTGCTACTCCCGGACGTCTTATCGATTGCCTAGAGAGGCGTTATGCTGTGTTAAACCAGTGTAACTATGTTGTTCTGGATGAGGCTGACCGTATGATTGATATGGGTTTCGAACCTCAAGTTGTTGGTGTTCTGGATGCAATGCCATCAAGCAACTTCAAACCCGAGAATGAGGATGAAGAGCTTGATGAGAAAAGAATATACCGGACCACTTATATGTTCAGTGCGACTATGCCTCCAGCTGTGGAGAGACTAGCTAGAAAGTATCTACGGAACCCTGTTGTTGTGACCATTGGAACTGCAGGAAAGGCAACTGATCTCATTACACAACATGTTATCATGGTGAAGGAATCGGAGAAAATGTCTAGGTTGCAAAAACTGCTGGATGAACTTGTGGATAAGACCGCCATTGTCTTCATAAACACTAAAAAGTCCGCTGACTTTGTATCAAAAACATTGGAAAAGTCTGGTTACCGTGTGACAACTTTGCACGGTGGCAAGTCACAGGAGCAGAGGGAAATCAGCCTTGAAGGTTTTAGGACCAAAAGATTTAACGTTTTGGTAGCGACGGATGTTGCAGGGCGTGGGATCGATATACCTGACGTAGCTCATGTGATAAACTATGATATGCCAGGGAACATTGAAATGTATACTCATCGTATAGGACGTACGGGTCGTGCAGGGAAGACGGGTATAGCGACCACATTCTTGACTCTACATGATACTGATGTGTTTTATGATCTTAAACAGATGCTTACGCAGAGTAATAGTCCCGTGCCGCCTGAACTTGCTAGACACGAGGCTTCAAAGTTCAAGCCTGGATCGATTCCTGATAGACCACCCAGACGTAACGATACAGTTTTTGCGCATTGAGGTAATTACATTATGCTGCATTATCATGTATGTTTAATTACATTAGAAATTGAATCTTGGAACTGGTTTTGATGATGCTATAGCAGGAGTTTAGGCTGGTATTTGTTATTTGTAATTGTTGTTGCTTATTTGATAGCATGAATTTTAATAGATATTTGGTGGACCATCTTTCCATTTGCTTCTTGATCTCTTGTTGTTGCTAGATAATTGATATCTCCATCCTTGGATACACATTAATGCACAGATATGCAACGGATCAAATCTTGTGAGAAGCACAATTCATGGCTGGGCAAGAGACTAAAAATGATCAAGGGTTCAGATCCCTTCTTACGCTTCTCACTTTAACTCTCTTTCTCACACGATCCTTCACCATTACTGATATCTATAATAATATAACAAAAATATTATCGTTTACGTCTTTCATTTATTTCATTGATTGGTTTCATATGTTATCTCCGAATTATAAAAAATTTGGGGTTGTTTACCAAACGCTTACCGGCATGAATCACCATTCTTGCTTGGGAGTCATTTACCAAACAATTACCTCTGGTAATTGCTTACCGCTAAGAGTCACCACTTACCTTATCTGGTAACATTCTCAGTAATCAAAATAGATTGTTGGTAAGCGTCTTTTACTCGGTAAGCACGAACTGGGCAAGAGGCTTTTTCCTTACTTACCGGGTAAGATTTTCAATCTTTGCCATGTTCATCACGTAAGATAAGTGTTTGGTAAAAGACCCTCTTAAGTTTTTTAAGAATCTTCCAAATTTGGAGAAAATTTCAACCTTTCATCCATTTTCTCCTGGAGTAGCTTTAAAAACCCACAAAAAAATCAAAAAACTTCAACTTTATTTATCTCGACTTTAAAGAAACCGTTGGAGATGCTATATGGATTATTGTTCTTTATATGTTACGGGCTTTTTACTAAGGGGTGGGTTAAATGCATCCTTGTACATTCTATGAGGTGTCTTTTTTTTAACCGTTTAATTTAATTTAATTTCTTTTTTACCGTTTTATAACTTCCAATTTAACCATAATCGGTGATCAAAAAAATTGAACGGCTCAGATAAGTTTGTAAATTTGATACTATTTACTTTGCTAACATATGATTTTGTCTCACATTGTTAATGCACTCTTATTTGTCAATTACCTTCTCATATATATCAACATCAAGACGTACGTGTTACATTCTCAATGTATAGTTTGGCTTTATTTTGATATAAAAAGGTATCCATATGAATTGTTAACCACTTTTTATTCATTTGTGTTGCTGACTGACTGAGATGCTTATCTGACAAGCAAGGACAATATTCAGTGTTTCGAACCTAATCTACGGCTTGCATGCCTCTTTTTTCTAGTTGACTTCCAAAGTTCGACATCAGCGATTGAAAAATGTTACAAATTAATTAAAATAGTCATTTTCAGTTGTTGGTTTCATCTCTTAGTTATTTCTCTCCTATAATTTAAAAAATATCACTATCTTCACAAGTGGCACCTCCGTTATTTGTGGAGGGATCAAAGTTTAAAAAAAGTTTCTGAACCAAGTCTGAAAAATGACTATTTCTATTAATTTACCAACTATATAGATGGTATTGAGAGATTTGTATCCTTTATAGAAAAATCAAACCAAATAAATCAACAATATTCCACTTGAAAGTATAGTCTCTAAGGGCAAGGATCTACACCGTCCTTACCTCAACCATCAAGATCGAATGGTTGTTTTTGTGAGGACCCTCGGTTTGTATACAACACAAAGTATGTATGTGTAAGCAGATAATAAAATAGGTAATAAAATAGACCAGCAAAAAATATAATAAGTGGATTACATTTTTGTGTGCAAGGAGGCAAAGTGACATCTTAAGTGCGTTGGTTGAACAACACTACAAAATGTCAGGTCATGTTTAACATTGAGTTCATTTGTCAGATCTACTAAAATCTAATAACTAAAACTTAAATTCTGAAAATGTCTGATATGTTTTATTCTTTGAGTTTAACGTGAACGATTTACGTAAATACGTTGATTTACATTTACATTGGTTATATACCGTCAAAATCTTTATTGGTTTTTGTAGCAATGATGTTTTATTTGATGTTCAATTTTGTAAAAATATAATGAAAATGTGTTCGTTACCATTACAGATGAACATATAAATAACTCGATATTATATGCATGGGGTGACAATATATTGATTGCGTGAGCTAGCTGGTCCTTTTCTTGCTTCCATCCGCCTATTACGTTTCGCCTGATACCCAAGAAGTTGGCTTTGACAACACAACATTAGGATCGTCCTCTTCGTTCTATACTGACCCCTTATAGTAATAATAAAGAATGTGCTAAACTATTAGCAGGAGTAGAAACTATGACAGTTAAGAAATTGCAGCATTCTAATTGTGAGGAGGTACCCCTTCTCCCAAAATTACGGGGATATGATATTAGTATTTATTTTGAGACATTCCAAATAGTTCATAGTCCTTTCAAGCAGTGGTCGTTTAGTCGATGGTCCATAGGATAGTCGGTGCAAGGCCATAAATTGGAACACATTGATTTCGTTTGTTCCCGTCCTTTGCTTCAGGGCTTGTCCCTCGGGGTGGTCAATAGCATGTTGAAGAATGAGTCGGCGACTCATAGGTAGTGGCTTGGTTAAGGGAACCCACCGGATCCGTAGCGAAAGCGAGTCTTCATAAGACACTTTGTCACTGTTTATGGACCCAAACATGGGTGATCTATCCATGACCAGGATTAGGCTTGAGTGAAACTAAGTGGAGGTCCAAACCAACTGAAGTTGAAGAATCAACTAATGAGTTGTGGTTAGGGGTTAAATGTCAATCGGCTTTGACATCTCTGCACTTGAACTGATGTATTAAACAGTAAAACCCAGTACACAATCTTTCAAGGTGTGGCATAACGTGAGAATTTTGTATGTCATATATAGAAGAGTTAAACACAGGTTTGGTCCATGTGGTTTACATAAATTAATGAGTAAGGTCCCTGAAAAAATTATTAACAAGGAATGTCCCTGTAGTTTCATTTTTATATCGTATATGGTCCTTACTCTAACTACTTCAGTTAAAGCTCTGTAAACACAAACGAACACAATACAGGGCATAACATAAATGAAACCGTTTATTTCTTCATAAAACATATATGCTTGACCTTTCTCAATGTTTTTTTTTGGAATAAACTCAAAAAAAAGTCTTATGGAACCAGGAACACCTCATTTTCGTTTTTGAGGGGCATTTTTGTCTATTCACCCACCTCTTTTCTCAACTTTAATTTTCAATAACAAATCTGGTGCCTCAAACTACTTTTACTTTTGTAATGTATTCGGTCCCTCAAACTAATTTACATTATTATAACAGATTTGGTCTCTTAAACTATTTTTTTTATTTTTATAACAGATTTGGTCCTTCTCTCAACTTTCATTTTTATGATTTGGTCCCTCAATTTAATCAATAAAATTCAGTGACACAAATATATATTTTCTATATATAATTAACAAAATAAATAAATAAAATTTGAGACTTAGATTTTTTCCATGAAATGTTTTATCTTTTCATAATTTCCTTTAGCCTAAATAAAACATAATTTTGATAATTGTTTTTTAATTGGTTGAAAATTAAAACAAAGTTCTAAAACTAAATACCTGACAATATATTAAATAATAAGATATAAAGGTACAAGTTTAAATAAGTTAACTATTATACACATTAAAAATTGTTGTGTATCTAGTTTCAAATTTTCAATTAATTAAAACAAAATTTTATCAAAATTATATTTTATTTAAGTTAAAGGATTTCATGAAAGTAATGTTTATAAAAAGATAAAATATCTAATGATAAAATCTAAACTTCATATTTTATTTAATTATTTTGTAATTATATTTAGAAAGTATATGTTCGTGCCACCAATTTTTATTGATTAAATGGAGTGATAAAATGCTAAAAGTGAAAGTTGAGGAATGGACCAAATATGTTATAAAAATAAAATATCGTTTGATGGACCAAATCTGTTATACCAATGTAAATTAGTTTGAGGGACCAAATATGTTATGAAATTAAAAGTAGCACGATGGAACAAATTTGTTATTGAAAATTGTAGTTAAGGAAAGAGAAAGGCGAAAAGACAAAAATGCCCTCTCACTAACGAAAACTTAATTGAATGAGTTAGAGCAAGGACCATATCTGTTATAAATAAGAAAATATGGGGACATCCCTTGTTAATAATTTTTTTCAGGGACCTTACTTATTAATTTATGTGAACCAAAAGTATTTAAGTCTATATAGAATTATATATTACATATATGTTTTTTATATATTATCTAATCAGATAATTATATTAAAAATCATACATTCATATTAAAAGAAAAAAATCATATGAGTTATTATTATAAAGATAGTTTTTGATTAAATATTTAAAATATAACTTATTAAAGTAATTTTACAATTTCGTTTTAATCGTGAATTCATAACATTCGTAACACTGTGATTAGATAAAACACTGATTTTTACCCTTACGAATCTAAACATACCAACAAACATCAGTTTTAACAAGTTACATCTGGGTTCCATAACGAGATGGCCTCCGGATGTGTCAAACCTTTCATCTTTGATGAAATCTTTAAATCTAAATTTTAATCAATCTTCTTATGTGCCCAGTTGCAAATTTTTTTTTTAAAAAAATCGGTTTTTTTGAATAAATTTAAAGAACAAAAAAAACCAACAAGAAAGAGAAAATATGACCAGTCTCTTCCCATTAATGTTCTTCACCCTACAAGCAAATAATTTAATGAAAAGTCTTTAAAAAATCGAACCCTGACAAGTTTATATAAGTTACGTTGATAAATTTTTCGCAATTATCATGTTTGCCATTCACTAAACACAATCATTTTGTTGTCAACTCCGGACTATCTGCAAAGCAGGTGGTTGCTTTAGGATTAGTCGGCTCGCATAGCGGGTTGGATATTCAGGTTAATCAAAAAAAAAAAAAAATACAAGAGACATCAACACAAAAAAGAAAAAAAAGTCTCTTGAAATCAACAAAAAAACCTCAAAAAAAGTCCCTTAAAACCAACCAAAAACACTTTAGTTATTTTGAGAGAACGGTGGAATTCAGCTAAAAACACATCAAACGACTTTACGAACCTTTGATCCACCTTAAAAGTGCATATGTTCAACAAAAATTTGCATCCACAACTGCTATAACGAGTTATATATGACCGTAATATTGTACAAAAGTATTGTCATTTCAATTTTCTTTGTCCATTCCATCATTCTGCGTCTGACAACGTTTAACCAAGTACCCATGATTTGGCTTCGTTACATTGTTTTTACGATCAAATATCCTTTAAGTGTCTACAGTAACGCATCATATCCACCGGTATTTTGCAAACATACATATATTAACTATTTATACAGTATCGTTGTACAACGTTGTCAAACCAAAATGTATTCAAGAACATTAAAATTATAAGTGGTAATAGTTAAATAAAAGGTTAATGTTCAGTTTTTTTACCACAATCGCGATGTCTTACTTTAAGGACGTTCATATACTTGTAAGATATTGAACATTTTTTATATATTTATGAAGCAGGGCGTGACAAGATCAAATTAAAACAACCGTAAAAAAGAGCATTAAATTTTAATTTATGATATACATTAAATTGATAATTAACCGTTATTTTTATTATATTAATTTAATATATAATTAGGAAAAAGTTAGGAGAACTTGTTATTTTTTTTAAAAGGAAACGGTTAGGGGCTGTTTGACAATTGTTGAATGGTTTGGTATATAATGATTAAGTGGTCAGAATGATTAAGAGACTCTCATGATATAATGCAAAATGAAATATAATTGTTTGGTAATTGTGTGCAATGAAATTAGGGTTCTTAATGGTTAAGGGAGATTCAAGATACAAAATCATTCAGAGGGTTTTAGAACCATTAAGAGGCGGGTTTTTTTTTTTTTTTTTGCCAAACAAGATTCATCTCTTAACGATTAAATGGTTGCCTCTTAATAGAACTATTAAGAGGAAAACAAACAACCCCTAATATATATTTTTACTATTTAGAGTGAATTACATATTTGGTCCTTGTGGTTTAACAAGATCATTAAACTCGAAAAATTACGGATTTGATTCATGTGGTTGTCATTTTGTTATATTATGGTTCCTCTTACTAATGTTGTTAACGGGATTGTTAACTTAGGGGAATTTGAGCCCTTTTACAATTTTTCTTAGGTTTTATTAAAAACTTGAAAACTAAAATATATTATATGAAATTATTTTATTTTATATTTATATTATATGTATTTAATTTTTTTAATTGAAGTATTTTTGCGTTTTTTCATATGTTTTAAATATTATATGATATAATTTTACTTGAATTTTTTTACGTTTAATTATTTTATATAAAGACTTAAATGCTTTTAAGTTAACAGAGTTCACATTTGGTAAAATGGCACATTCGGAAAGTGTGAAATTTGCGAGTGTTTTCCCTTTCTCTTTTGGTTCAAAAAAAAAATAGAAAATTACATACGAGTAGAAGGGTTCGTAGACAGTCTGAAAGAAGGAAGAAGAATCTAATGATTTCCATAATCCTGTGAGAAAAAAAAACCAGTTTGTTAGAGTTGGGGCAGAGAAACAATCAACAGAATGGGTCCCACCGTTAACAAGGTTAGCGAGAGGGATTGTAGTCATAAAAAATGACAACTATAAGGACCAAATCTATAATTTTTCGAATTTAGAGACGCTAGTCACAACTTCATTAAACCATAAGGACCAAATCTGTAATTCACTCTATTATTTACTTAAAAAATGATTATATAAGAGAAATTGTTAAAAAAAAATTAATGTCACACAGAATAAATTCAATGGCTGTGATAAGCTCTGTTGGAGAAAACTTGAATCGCAACCCTTAAAACTGGGAGATGTTAGAGTGTTACACAAGACAGGATAACAACCATGGACCACGATGCATGTGATTTTTCCCTCTCGTAAACAGTGACCGGTTTTGGCGGTAAAAAAACCCCAGTGCCAGGTGTCACTAAATTATTGGTGGTCCATGCATGTATGATATACATGAGTGACATGGTATTAGGTCATGCTATATTTGTTGTTTTTCCCGCGCGACCGTACCGCCGGATCCCCAAAAGCAGAGGGAAAACTAGGGCTTGCTGAATCCATCAATTTCCACTCTCTCTAATCGACGCATCTGCCTTAAAAGAGACCTCTCCTTTAAATCGACGATTCTCCCTTGCCGTTCACTATCTCGCCGGTATGTTTTTTCGTTCTTCATCTCACTGATTCCATTTCTGTTCTTCTTGCTGTTGCTTGCTGTTCTTTCGATCTGCGGTGCTTTGGCTTGATGTTGCTTGCCACTGCTGCTGTTGTGATAGATCTATTGTATTTGCTTTTTGCCTAACCCTTCTGTGAGTGCATCGAGTCGTCAAATTAGTTCTTTATTTAAAAAAGAGTCATCAAATTAGTTCTGTGTTCATGGTTGACAAAAAGACAAAAAAAAAACAAAAATCAGTAATTACTGCTTTTGGCGAGCTCTTCTTTGAGTATATCAAAGTAGTGATCTGTTCATGCTTTTGCTTTTTTTGCAAAACCCTTCTGTGAGTACATCTTTTTTTTATTGAATCACATTGGTTGATTTTCTGGTTTATGTTTGATTTTCTTGAATTACAGTGGTTTTTTATTCAAAAAACTTGGACCACCAGTCTCGGTGGATTGTATGGAATGGTTGCTTGATGTTTTTTGCTGTAAAAATGTGAAGACTTGACGTTGTTTATGGTTATTCTTTCTGCTTTACTTTTTATGCTTATATTGCTGTTGCTTTTGAATCATATTGGTATTGCTGTTGCAGTTTGCTTCTTGAATTATATTAGTATTGCTGTTTCTGTTTTTCTATGCTCACATTGGTTGTTTATGCACTCACATCATTGTTGCTTCTCAAATCCCACTAGTATTGATGTTTCTGCTTTCTTTTTGAATCACTATGGATGCCTTGGATCACACTAGTATTGCTGTTGCTTCTTGAATCACATTAGTATTGTTGTTGTTTGCTTTTTGAATCATTATGGATTTCATGTGTTCCTCTCATTAGGTAATGAATTTGTGTCATTATGTTAGATAATGGTGTTTTTATTTAAAACAACTCTTAAAATGGTCATTTCTGTCATTCAAATTGCATATTCAGCACAAATAACAAACAACAATCTAGTTTAATCTATACAAGTAGCTTAATCCATACAAGGCGTAATGGAAAATTACAAACGCCTTAATCTCTATCTGTGAGTGTTCTGAAAATAGAGTTGTTTGTTATCGTTTTGATATATTCGTACTTCATATAGTGCAATTCGCTTATTATAATTTCTATGAATCAGATATCTGGTCAGTTTTTTGTTCCCAATATTTGTGGTAAATTGCTGGCAGGTTTACTTGTGTCGAGGATGGAAGACCTCAAGCCTCTAAATACTACCGCTGATTCCTCTACGGAAAACGGAGCTACCATTGAAGCTCGATTCCGAGACTTTTGCAAGGTTTTATTTCGATCTTTCATTATATTTTGGTTATTTTGGAAGAATTTATGTTACTCTTTCTTTTGGGATTTAGTTCTTCGATTGTTAATTTATCTGATTTATTTCAAATTTTAAGACTTTGTATGTGGTCTCTTTATTGGTTATCTGACTTGTTCAGTTTTGTGTTCCTACAGGGTAGATTGACAATGGATGATAACCCTTTAGAAGAAGCGATGAAGCTGTTCAAACAAAGCAAACATCTTTTCTTGACAAATGCATCAAGTCTTGGAAGTGGGACGGTATTTCTCTTGTTTTTCTTTCAGATTTATAGTTTCTGGGTCCTAAATTTGGATATTTTTCTATTGGCGCGTGTCATGCTCAAAATGATGGTCATAAAGCGAAGCTATTTATGATTATACAACTTTAAAGATCTATATAGCAATGTTGTTTTTTTCCTGAACAGGGTATTATGCAACATTTACATTTAACTTCAGAATTTGAGGGGTTTTTTTTTAGTTGCTGATATTTATATTTGCATTCCTCATTTAGCCCGAGGAAGCGGAGCACTACTGGTTTGCATTTCTCTTATTCTCCTTGAAAAGATTAGGCCAGAGGGATGCTGCAGAAGATGCTACTAGTACTAATGAGAATGGTCTCAACATGTGCCGGATACTCAGAGTGGCAAAACTGAAGTATGTTGTCGTGATTCAACCGAATAGGATTGTCTTTTGGTCAATTTTGTCATGTGCTAATCAACTAGTCTTTCTTATCTCAGTTTTGTAGATTTCTTTAAAGAGCTACCTCAATTTATAGTCAAGATTGGTCCCATTTTAAGCAATCTCTATGGTTCTGATTGGGAAAGTAGACTTCAGGTACTGATGTAGCCGAGAATTAAGATTATCTAAATGGAGTCTTCAATTGGCCTCTATATGTCTATTTGGCTCTATAATGCTTCAACTTGTATTAAGCTCCCTTTTCTTCATGATTTTTTATCAGGCTAAAGAGTTGCAGGCCAATTTTGTGCATCTCAGCCTTTTAAGCAAGTGGGTTGCTTTCTCTTTCTCTCTCTTCCATTTACATGTTCTTGTTGGTTGATGCCATGTTTAGTGATATAAAGTTTGTGGTATGTCGCTCTACCTACTTTCAAACTTTTTTTATGAAGGCTAGTTGGCTCTGGCAGAGAACACTGAAGTTACCTTGTGGCTCGCACCGCAAAAAGGAAATGACAATATTGATATGACTATTCAATCGGCTTTTTGCTTGGGAAGTGTTGATACCACCATTAGCAATTCAGGAAATAGTATTAACTTCCATCCCATGCTGGGCACTATCTTCTGTAACTTATGCCATTTCTCTTTCTTTCCTTGCGCCAATCCATGTGGCATACACATTATGAGAACTTAAGTTTATAGGCTCGATATGACTCAAAAAGAAGTCTGGGAACAGTTTGCTTGTTTTTATCTGTATTTAACTTCTGTATATGGTCTCCTTGTAGTCATATGTGAACTTATTGCTGCTTTAGTTAGCTGAAACTTCATCCATGTAGTGGTGAGTTGTTGTAGAGCATATCTTTGCGGCCCTCTCACTGAATTGCTGATTGTGCATCCCTTTCTCAAAATTTTCTGTAAGGGGTGGGTCTGTTTGATAAAACTATCTTTAAAATGATTTTCTTATCGTTCTGAGAAAATGCAATACTTCTATCATTGGTTGCTCCAATAAATGCAATGTTTTCTTTCTTAGAAAGTTTCTTTTGCCAGTTTATCGGTTTGTCTATTAGCGGGTAATTAGAAGATATTGGTGAGATTGATTGTGGTCCACTAATTTTTTCTTGTTAAGGAGTGTTTTAGGTATTTGACCATTAGTCAAAGATTTTATTAAAACTACATGCCAAGTTAAAGGCCGCGTCTTTTGTTAGGAGGGAATTATCTTTTATTGTCGAGGATAAAAGTGAAAGTCGAAGTCAAATTCCAATAATAAAATAAAGTGTGATCTAACTAGTCTGCCATGGAGAACATTAATGTTTTTATTCTATAGAGGATTTTTATCTTATTTTTGGGCGGCTTTTCAATTATTGACATGTTGCTTGTTATAGTAAAATATTATTTGGAATTATATCAACATATGTAGTGGTTCTCTAATTTGTTGTGGAGGCCCTTTTATCGGCGTTGTTTCAATGTAAAGCATCCGTATCATGTAAATGATTTGTTCAATAAATATGTATTTGACTTCAACCGTTATTCCCGTACCTCAACTTCATTAATTGTTTAGTGAAATTTCTTTTTGATGATCTTTCGAAACCTTGATTTTTCTGATACAAGGTACTATAAACGTGCATTTCGGGGACTTTTCCTAGCAACCCATGCTAATGTTGATGGTCAGCCAATTGTTGCCAATTCTCCAGACTACATATCAGATTGCCATCGTTTTGGATGGCTACTATTTTTGGCTCTTCGAGTCCATGCATTCAGTCGTTTCAAGGACTTGGTCACTTGCACTAATGGATTGGTCTCGATCCTGGTTAGTGTTATTACGAGCATTGATCCTTTTCTTTTTTCTAATGATTATGGACCAAATAAAGTATAAAGTACTCTTGATGAATAGAAGGTATACATGATTTGCCTGTTCACTTATATAATTCATATTAGATTTTCAATATGCAGAATCTTTTCTTGGTTTAGGAATCCTTTGAGTTTAGTTATTGATATATGAAAATGGGACTTCTTGACATTTCTGAGACCTGTGGCAGGCAATTTTGATCATTCATATTCCAGCTCGCTTCAGAAACTTTTCTCTTAATGATTCTTCACGCTTTGGTAACCTTGTTCATCATTTATTTCCTCAATTTATATGTTAAAAATTATGTTTCTCTTTGGTTACTGTAAAAATGACTATGCAAACATGGATAACTTACAGTTAAGAAGGACAAAGGTGTGGACCTGCTTGCATCACTCTGTAACATGTATGAGACGTCAGAGGAGGAGTTGCGAAAAACAATGGCTAAGACGAATAATGTAGTGGCAGAAATTTTGAAAAAAAAGCCTTGCTTGGCATCAGAATGTCCAAATGGGAACTTAGACAATATTGACACAGGTTCACCTTAAGAACTCTTGAATTACATTACTGGTCATATGCACTGTATAATGAGTACTAATTGAGATATGTATCCAATTAAAAATACAGATGGCTTGACATATTTTGAAGATTTATTGGAGGAATCATCTTTATCTTCCAATTTAAATGTTCTAGAAAAGGATTATGATGCAGCGATATGCCAGGAAGGCGAATTAGATGAAAGGATGTTCATTGATGATGATGAAAGCCTACTAGGTTCAAGCAGCTTGTCTGGTGGTGCAATTAATACTAGTGGAACCAAGGTACCTATCAGTAGTACTTGCTGCGGTAGAAGCCTAAAGCTACTTACTTATGGTTTGATTTTTCTTGTTCTGTAGAGGAAGTTTGACTTAATGACCTCCCCAACAAAGACAATTACGAGTCCACTTTCTCCTTATCGGTCTCCCTCAGCATCTCATACCAATGGAAGTCTGGGTGGTGTTAATTCAAAGATGATAGCTACTCCTGTTAGCACGGCGATGACTACTGCAAAATGGCTCCGGACTAATGTTTCTCCACTTCCATCAAAACCTTCTGTAGAGTTGGAGCGGTTCTTGTCATCATGTGACAAGGATGTTACTAGTGATGTCATAAGGAGGGCACGGGTAATATTGGAGGCTATTTTTCCTAGCAGTGGTTTGGGTGATCGAAGTGTTATGGCAAACATTCAGAGTACTAATCTGATGGATAATATTTGGGCTGAACAGCGTAGATTGGAAGCATCAAAGTTATACTATAGAGTTTTGCAAGCAATGTGTACAGCAGAGTCCCAAATACTGCATGGTAACAATCTAACCTCCTTGCTAACAAATGAGAGGTTTCACAGGTGTATGCTAGCATGTTCAGCAGAACTGGTTCTTGCTACCCATAAAACAGTGACAATGTTGTTTCCCGCTGTTCTGGAAAGAACGGGAATTACTGCTTTTGATCTTAGTAAGGTTATAGAAAGCTTCATCAGACATGAAGAATCTCTTCCAAGAGAGTTGAGGCGACATCTGAATTCTCTGGAAGAACGTCTTTTGGAAAGCATGGTGTGGGAAAAAGGCTCCTCAATGTACAACTCTTTGACAGTGGCAAGACCAGTGCTTTCTTCAGAAATCAACCGTCTTGGGTTGTTGGCAGAACCCATGCCATCTTTGGATGCAATTGCACTGCAAGTTAACATGTCTTGTGGAGGATTGCCACCTGTTCCTTCATTGCAGAAGCGTGAAAGCTCACCAGGTTAACTGTTGATTCCATACTCCCTAACTTATAATATCTACGATATAACATGCATATATGTATATTAATCTGTTCCTCTTATAACATGAACATGTATGTGTACTAAAGACATTGATAGCTTTATTTGGTGCTAAACTGAAGAGGTTTATTATGTACTATCCCTGTTCCTATAGTTGTGGACGATTTAGCATAAAACAGAAGTTTTATAAACCTTTTCAAATTAATAGAATAGCCGATTCTTTCCAAGTTTCTTGGTCTTGTAGCAGCTGCTGTTGTTCATTAGAGGTTTCTAGAATCCAGTCATCAAAATAACACCTTGAACAGAGTATTATTTATTGAATTTCTGGGCAGAAAGTAATTTCAGTTCTACCCCACCTCATGAATTTCTTTGGAACGTCTATAAAAAGAAAAGTTCAATGATTTAAGCATGAATGGCTTGGTTTTGTATCAAATAGAGCTAATGCATCCGATTGCATGTTTTCAGGTAAGAATTGTGATCTTCGGTCACCAAAGAGAGTTTGCACAGAGTATCGAAGTGTTTTGGTTGAACGGAATTCCTTCACATCACCAGTCAAGGATCGCCTTCTAGGAATAAATAATCTCAAGTCAAAGCTACTATCGCCTGCTTTGCAGTCTGCGTTTGCCAGGTAGTAGAAACCATGGTGTCACCATGGCAAGAATTGATATGTTCATTTATGTGCACACTGCTTCTAATTCTTAATAGTTCAAGTTGTCGTCTAACTGAGATCTGGATTCTTCTCAACAGTCCAACAAGGCCGAATCCAACTGGTAGAGGAGAAACATGTGCAGAAACATCCGTAAATCTATTCTTTAGCAAGGTGCTGAATTTTAACTTCTAACTACGGTCCAAAAGATCAAATACTTAAAGAGGTTCACAAGTTCAATATTCTTGTTCCTTTTAGTGTCACAAATCCAGAAGATTGCTTATTCTTTATGCTTTTTTTCCTTGGGTCATGAACATCACCGGTTTTGAGCTTAAGATCAGAATGATTTTCATTAGTTAATCAACATAAATCATGAAATTAGCAGCTTTGAATTACATAGAGATATAGAGGGGATATTGAGAACAATGGGGTTTGAAATACAAAAAGGAGATCAGGATTTCAGAAGAAAGTGTCTTTTGATTAAAAAAACAAGACAAGAAAAGAGGGTGATGACGTCTGGCACTTGAAAGTAGCTAAGAGGAAATTAAGAAATCAATTTGGGATACAGAAACCAGCAACTCAAGGGAAAGAAAGATCTGATTTATGTTTAGTTTAAAAGAAGGGTGTCTTTTGATTAAAAACAAAAAGAGGGTGATGATGTTTGGCACTGCTCTAATCCCCTCTATTTAGTTTTGTTAAAAGATGAGTTTTTTAAGGTAAAATGTTGAAATGGTCGATATGGTGACAGTTTAAACCTTGTGCTAGTTTTAAGCTCTTTCAGTCTTTATCTGAAGTGCTGTAATGGATTGGGGCTCTAAAAGAATGCAGCTCAATAATTGACTGATCTATCAATCATTTGAAGGTATGAACTGACAGCTTTCGTGGTTTTCTCTGACCAGATTGTAAAGTTAGCTGCTGTTAGAATCAATGGGATGGTTGAAAGGCTGCAATTGTCGCAACAAATAAGAGAGAGGGTATACTGTCTTTTTCAACAGATCCTCAGTCAGCGTACAGCTCTATTTTTCAACCGCCATATTGACCAGATCATCCTGTGTTGTTTCTATGGAGTTGCAAAGGTTTGCTTCTAGATACATTTCAAAACTTCTAGATACAACCATGTGATAACAATGTATAATTGTTTTTGTTTGTTGTCCTGACCTGCAGATATCGCAACTGAGCTTAACTTTTAAAGAAATCATCTACAACTACAGAAAGCAACCACATTGTAAACCCCAAGTTTTCCGTGCGGTATTTGTTGATGACAGGTCATCTTCTCGACGCAATGGGGTATGCATGTCTCATCTCTAAGGCTCTTCTAGTTGTTGGATGTTTGAGGCAGTTACTTAGAGATGTTTCGGATGGGTTTTTGAAACAGAAAACAGGGCAGGATCATGTTGATATCATAATGTTCTACAATGAAACATTCATTCCAGCTGCAAAGCCACTGTTAGTGGAGCTTGCCCCTGTAGGAGTTGCTAAAAACCCTAATCAGGTTTCAGAAGCAAACAATAATGATGAAGGTAAAAAGTTTGTACTGATTATGATTTGTTCACATGATTTGCCTCTCATTCGAGTTTCGTCTTTTTAGGTGGTCCATGCCCTGGGTCACCCAAGGTATCTTCATTCCCGAGTCTTCCTGATATGTCCCCGAAGAAGGTATCTGCAGTACACAATGTATATGTGTCTCCATTGCGATCAACCAAGGTATTTAGTGTCTGCATCTATGTATCTATCTGTACCCTATACATATATCTATATCTCTCTCTATATATATATATGTATATATGTGTGAAGGGTTTTGATTAAGATTGGCAAGTGTATTGTGGGTATTCAGATGGATGCTTTAATATCTCATGGATCGAAAAGCTATTATGCATGTGTTGGGGAGAGCACTCATGCTTACCAGAGTCCATCGAAAGACTTGACTGCCATCAACAATCGGTTGAACGGGTATGAACCATTACCAATTACAATAGTAAAGTAATATTGTGAATGCATTACTAAAATTTGATTGAAAATGAACAATGATTTTGTAGACGGAAGGTGAGAGGGACGCTTAACTTTGACGATGTTGATGTGGGGTTGGTGAGCGACTCGTTGGTGGCGAACAGCCTCTATCTACAAAATGGGAACGGGAATGCGAACGGAAAAGCACCATCTTCATCAAGCCACCAGCTGAAAACGGAATAATGGAACACAACTAGCACCCAGCTTTTCAATTAGTAGTTGTATGTATAGAAAGGAAAGAAAAGGAAAAGATTTGATGACGTGGGAATGAGGATGGAATGAGCGGTGAAATTATTGTACAGTAGCCGCCACTAACCTCGTGAAGTTGGATTTAATAAGTTTATGTACTAATCATCTTTGATGCACGAATGTCCAATGTCACATGATGCACCCTTCTCCTGTATATGCCATACTTCTCTTAACACCATGCTAAAAATGACTTGTTTCTTTAGGATCCAAAAACATTGGAATTCAATTATACCAAATGAAAATAGGCGTCGACGTTCCATTGTGGGTTCAGAAATATGCCAAGTTTCATTCCATTTGACAGTTTGTAGTTTCTTGTTATTTTCGTTTAAAAGAAACCGTATGTGAGCTTTTAAGGAAAGTTTGATTGGTTTTTCATTAAATGTTGCAAGGATAAAGTTATTGGTTTGTGTAGATTGAGAAGGTTTTTGTTTGAAATGATTTTTTCATATACGGAAGAACCATGTTTTCTAATTGGGTTTGGAAACAACTTGACTTTCTACCCAACACCAAAACTTACTGAATAAGTCACTTTATATATCATTAAGCCACTACCGGTCATTCTGAATAAGCTTTGAGTCTCATTAAACTCTTTAAATTGCTAACAAGTAGACCCTAAATCTTCTCTCGTCTTGTCCGACATCAGTTGCTTTCAAGCATCATTTATATGGTTCTTTGTAATACAGAAGAAGCAGTATGATTGTTTTCACCACCATAATCTTATCAAATATCAATTACACAGTAAGCCCTTCAACCCTTCATTGAACAAGAATTCAAACTCCATGCAGGGGAAGGATATACGAGTAGGAACACAAAGTTCAAAGGATGCGCCTGGGTTGATCCAATGTTCTTGATGTTTTTCTTTAGAATTTGGAACAAAGTTGAATCTCATGTTCTATACATAATTTATTAATACCAGAAGCGTACTCGCGCAATGCAGCGAGATACATCGTGTTTTTAATATTTCATTTTATTATTTATCTCAGTCGATGTTATAATATGACTTTATGTG